AAGCAACAAAGTAAATAGTTTAAAATCCATGTTATTTTATTAGTTAAAATTGGCAATATATAGAACAGTAACTACTTTAAATAGGATTTAAGAAAAATGAACTATTTTATTATGTCAAATTCTATTACAGTAAACATAAAACTGCCAAAAATTAAATATTTTAAATGTCAAGCAGCAAACTCCGTAAAGTTTATTTGTTGATTTCCTCACCACATTCACTATAAAATCCAAAGCAACAAATACTTTTGCTGAGTTGGTCTATAAAGTACTGGTCAGTAAACTGAGGAAAAATCTATACCTCAAACAATTTACTTTGAGAGAAACTAACAACATTCATTGCCTTAACTTTCTGTTTCTCTTTTTAACATTCCTGCCTTTCTAGATTCTGGACACTAGGGAAGAAGAAACTTAGGAGGAGTTGGAAACCACAGTCTTCCTGGGAAGTCAGGGTCCATGCTCACAATCTTCTTTTCTTTCACTCTCAACACAGAGAAAGAGTCATTCAGATTGGCCCTCTTCCTGCCAGTCAGCACAATTTTCTAAATTGTTACAACCATCCAGCTGGAGGAAAGAAGAAAGGAAAGATAAAAGGATGAAGAGAAACAGCTAAAGAAAGTGGGGAAGAGAAGTGCCTCCACTATGTATTCATTAAGACTTTGGAAAAGCAGCATGCAGTAAGCATGGGAAGGCTTCTGTCATATGTGACTACACACACACACAGCTAAGATATACAGATTTACAGATATGGTCTGTGTAGCCTAACCTTGAAGTCTTTTAATCCTCTTACCTCAGCCTCTGAGTGGGCTACTGAGCCTAGTTAATGTATTTCAAGGATTTTTTTTTTTAATTGAACATAAAAAGGACATATGTTTTGCTTATCTCTAAACTGAGTGAAGGGGTAGCAAATTCTAATAGTTTTTAGACATGTATAATTACAATGCTTCCAACAAGTGTGTGAATATCCTTCAGGTCTCTTGGTATGTGTAACATGGTGTTTTCTCAGTGTTAGCATGAAGTGGTTTCCAAACTTGACTGTTCATATCATTTCCCATGAAGATTGAGGAACGTTTGCAGAATCTCTGCCTTTGTTCTTTCATCCTTAATTATGCATTAACAGTCTAAAACTGGAACTGTTTTGTTAATGATTTTTGAGAGCTTTCCAAATAATGTCAATAATTTCATTTAAAAAGCAATGGAGCTTTACTATGGCCTGCTTTTACAGAGTAATGGAAGCAGAGTGGTTTATAGCAGCACTATACAGCTTCTCAATGTGCCTCACTTTGTTAATTATGTGATGCTTTGTACAAAACATGCCTGCCTCTTAGATAAAGCTCACATGCAAACAAAAATTACAACATTCGGGGTACTTTAACACCAAACAATGACACAGCTTTTACTGTGTGTTCGACACTTACAAACACACCAGGCACATTTCCTGATTTTAAAATTCTGACAACCCTCAAAGGTGCCAGGCTGCCACTATTACCAGCACTTTATAGATGAGTACAGTAGAGAGACAGTAAGTCCTAGCCACAAGGTCACAGAGACATAATTGGGAATTCAAGAGATTTGAACTTGGGAAACACAGTCCCAGGATCTGTGATCTTACTCAAAACACAAGCCATGTGGTTAAGGAGTCTGAAGCTCGAGGAAACTCAAATAGCAGTACATGAAAACACACACACACACTTGAGTCATTAGTCTGGTTCAAGGCCTCTGGCTTCTGCTGTACTATCAATAGTAGATCGTCACAGGGATCCTCTCACATATACTGTTGTTGCCCTGTGTCCTGGAGATCCTGCAGCTCCATACACTCCACTAGTTCACAGATGGGGTGGCTGTTGGGGTGGACCAAAACAAAGCTCTGAATCTGGGCCTGAGTGGTAGCTGAGTTGGTCAGCCTACCAGCTCTCCTGTACAGTCAATGTAAGGTGCAGGACGATTCTCCCAAGTGGCTGCAGCCAATGAGGGGGTAGGGCCAGCTCTCCCAAGTGCCAAAGTGGGTCAGCTCAGCACAGTGCTCAACATCAACATGGCCTCAGGCAACAGGCCAAACAAGGAATATCACTTTTGAATGGCTTTTGGTAAATAGGGATAATTTGACTTCTTTTCATACTTATATCCCTTAATTTTCATCTCTTGATTAACTAATATAAGCACTTTTGAAAAGAGGGAAGAGTGTACAGCCCTCTCACTCCTTAATTTTAAAGGAATTACTTTGAGATTTTTCCATTTACGGTAATGTTGGCTGTGAGTTTCTCAGACATAACTTTTATTATATTGTTTGCTCTCACCAGTCCTACCCTCTCTAGACATTACCATGAAGGCATTTTTAATTTTGTTAAAGGCTTATTATGTATCTATTTATATATCATGTTTTGTGTATGTTTATGACCATTTACATGATTTATTACATTTACTAACTTGTGTAAGTTGAACCATCCATTAATTTCCAAGCTACTTGATCATGGTGGATAATCTTTTGCATATGCCTGTATTTGGTTTTGAAGTAATTTACTGAAGATTTTTGTTTTTCATCTATGTTCATCTAATTCCAGCAACTTCTCGCCTTTACTATCTCATTAATGGGCAATATTTCCTTAAAAATCTCTAAGAATTTCTCTTTGGAATAAAGACTTGCCAATAAACAGTGCTGGCAAAATGAGACATTCATATGAAGAAGAATGATACTTGTGAGATGAGATTTTAGACCGAGACTAAAAAAATGAAAAAAAAATTCACAATGGAAAAAATTATAGAATATTGAAATAGGCAATGATCTCTTTTGGTAAAGACCTTAAAAGTACTGACTATAAACTGAATTATGAGATAATCAATGAATTCCATAAAAAATGCCTGCAACACATAGCAAAATGCTCATGTTAAGGGAACCTAAGAACAACTCAATAGTAAATAAACAGCTTATGGGGTGCGGGGTGCACGGTGCTAGCAAAGGAACAGAAGGGACATTTCTTAACAAGAACAGAAAAGTGAGCAACTGGAATCTGAAGAACATCCAATATTATAAATCACATCACACAGCCGTTAGACTTTATGTCATCACAAAGATGCATGATAAATCCTGGTTATGGTAATGTTGGTGGTGGTAATGTTACTTGTCTAGCCATATGGAAAGCAATATCAAGATGTTCTATTCAAACCTAATGTATAACCACCATATGATTTAGAACTCCTACTTTTTGATCTAGAGTTCAAAGGCCCTGAGATGAGCACACTGAGGGATGCACTGCCATGTGCACTGCACTGTTAGTTCTAAAATCAAGATACAAAATCACCTACATTTTCACCAACAAATGAATGATTAAAGAAAACAGGAGATGGACAGACACATACATGTACATATGTGCATATATATACACACATGGGCACACTACCTACTATGAAAAGGGCACTATGATGTTCAGTTACAACAAACCTGGAGTACTTTGGCCTAGTGAAATAAGTCATACACAGAAGAGTAACCACTACGTGTGTTTATGCATGTTATATAAAAAGGTCAAATGCAGAGAGATAGAAAGTACAATGGTGGTTACCAGAGGCTAGAAATAAAGGGGAGAAGGAGAAATGTGAGACAGAAAGTACAAAGTTCCTATTAGACAAGACATTTTTGAGGTCTATTTGCATACCATGGTGACTACTTACTAACAGAGTGCATATTTCAAAATACTCAAAACTTCAATATTTTTAGTATCCCTGTAATCAGAATAGCAGTTATCAAGAAAATAAGTAACAAATGCTGGTGAAGACATGAATAAAAGAAAAACCCTAAATGCTGCTAGTGGGGATATGCGCAACTCCACTGACTACAGAAGTTCCTTAAAAAACTAAAAATGCAACTAAAATGCAACACCGAGGTATAACCCGAAGTATCTCACAGATACTTCCTGTACATTGTTACTTACTGAAACACATTTCATAACACGTAAATTATGAAATCAACCAATTAACCCATCAACAGCAATAGATAAAATGTGCATTATATTCAAAATGGATTTTTTTGGCTGTAAAAAAGAAATAAGTGCTGGGTGGTAGCACATGACTGTGATCATGGCACTGGGGAGGCAGAGGCCAGAGGATCTCTGTGAGGCCAGCCTGGACTACAAAGTGAGTCCAGGATAGCCAAGACTACACAGAGAAACCCTGTCATGAAAAAACCAAGAGAGAGAAGGGGGGGGGGGAGAACAAAAGGAAGAGGAATAAGAAGGAGGAAGAGGAAAAAGAGGAATTAATGCTATGTCATTTGTTGGAAAAGAAAAGCGATTAAAGATTATCATTAAGTTAATTAAGCCAGTCTTTAACATGAAAGTAGAAGTGAAACTGTTCTAAGATGCAAATATTTCACGTGTCAGGTAGAATTTTCTGTGTTGAATATAAAAATTAAGAGCTATCACTCAGTGAAAGAATTGATTTGTAGAATGTATTGGGCCCAGGAATCAATTCACAAGCCATAAACAACTACAACAAAAGCCAAATATTCCTACTGTACAATCAAGCACCTAAAAAGCTTAAAAAAAATGAGAGAAACAACTGTTAAGACATAAATCAAAATAGTAAAATAATTATTTCAATCAATATGTATCTGTAAGATGATCCTATCCTGTAATAGTATCTAATTACTGAGCCCTTTTTGAGCAGATACTAAATGTGATCAAAAAGAATGAGATACTGATGATACCCTGGAGGAATTTCCAGTTCTACAGAGATAACTGGAGTATGCATATATGTCCTAGGTATGTGAGAGATACTTATGTCATCAAGATATTGCTTTATTGGTGGCATCTCAAAACGCAACTATTAACATCCATTTTGCTGATAACATGCCAGACCAAAAAAAAAAAAAACCAACAACAAAAAAAACAAACCTCCATTTACCCAGCTAAACCTTACTCTCTTAAACAAAAAGAATGAAACAACCTATTGTGGTATATTTATAAGCATTATATAAAATGCCATGCTTAAAAATATTTATGAGAGCTTACCCCATCTGATAGTGCCCGCCAACACACAGCACTGACAAATTCATTTGTGTCATCTTCTTTCCGGTCTTTGTCCAGAACACTCTTGACTGTGTCAAACTTAAAAGTTAGCAAAGTCTTAGAAAGTCCTTTATAGTACAGGTAGAGGGAGTTGTTCTCACTTCCTGAAAAGAAATAATACAATTGCTTTAGAATGGGAAAACTTAGAATACATATGTACATATTTATTTGATACAGTCATGCTATGTAGCCCAGCTTGTCTTCAAACTCAAAACTATTTTCCTCTGCCTTTTAAATGCTGGGATCATAGGTGTATAACCATCACAGCCTTTCTATCATCTCCCCACTCTGCTGGAGACTGAATCTAAGACCTTGGGCTACAGTGAACTTCATTTCTAGCCCCAGGTCTCGAACAATACATTTAGATAATAATTATTAATCCAAGTCTTAGCAAAGAGACCAATTATCTTTTATAGTCAAATCTGAAAGGCAAAATCACAAGACTAATTAATTGGAAATTATGTGAGAAAGGGATTCTTGTATAACAACTATTGTTTACTAATCTAAAGAAATAACCATTGCTTAAGATTTAAGTGTTGATAATTCTAAGACTGAAATGTTTTATATTAAAAAAAAATCACTTATAGCAGAGGTCTAACTATAAAAATGTTGTTACTAAAACAAAAATCTTAAACTGCATTTGAAAAGATAACCATGAAGAAAGGAAAATGAAAGTTGTAGTACTTACAAAGGCCAATCTGAAAAGCCTAAACAACAGATTCTCCATTTCCCATACAGCATTACCCTATCAGATAAGAAGTCAAACTGCACATTTCAGGAGCCTCTTAAGGATAATTGTGCTGCGTATCTACTTTGGGGTGGTATTCAATTTCATACATTAGGAGAAAATACAATTTACTGAATAAGAGTAATATCATTTAAAAGTGATGACAAAAGTTCATTAGCTCTATCAGAACATTCGAATAATAGCAAATTGAATTTTTCCACTTCTGATTTAAATTTGCATAAATTAGATATAATAAAAACTCTAGAATAACAGCTTCATGCAACCCAAACAGACTGCTTAATGAAAGTGATAGTAGACAGGGTAAAATGAATATCAATCTTCTGAAAAGATATGTCTTTTTGAAATACTACTAGCAGAAATTAATAGTTTCTATATAATAGTTTCTATATAAATAGTCTATATAATAGCTACAGAAATTGTGGCATATTTAGATTACAAGAAAGCAGTTAAAAATCTTTGACACTACTATGGACATGTTATAGTTTTGGTTTATGATATGTAAACATGATTTTGCTATAATCCCAAGTGTGGGATTTTAGTTTGTCCATACCTGTTAACTGTCTCATGCGGGGCATAGTCTTTACCAGCTGGAATTAGTTGAATTCTGAGGACCTTGAGGGGTATAAATATGACAGCCTAGAGGAAGGCGCAGTGGTTTTGAAGAAACAGAAGGGGACTGCTTGCTGTGCTTACTGGTTTGCTGGTTCCCTGGACTTCTGGATTTCCTGACAACAGACATTGGTATTGCCCCCAAAAGGATCCTATGACCCTACCCAGCAGGAAGAAGTAAAGAGGGCTACATCCTCTTTCCCATACAACCTTTTTTCTCCCCTACCTGGGGCTGTAGGGTTGGAAGGGAGGTAGAAGCATTAAGGAACCCCCAAGTAAAGTAGCATTTGAAAAACTAGCACCTACAGATACTGGGCTCATGTGCAGAAAAGAAAAATGAATGCTTTCCAGCATTCTCTGGAGAAAGGGATTCAGTCCTAAGCATCAAGTCTGTGATGCTGCCTTTTGAATGCACAGACCCATTCTTCACTGACAACTGGCATGGCACACCTTTGCAAAGTTTCTTTAAAAATATAATTTCACTTACCACAAGCTATATAATCTCCATTGGAAGCAAGACCTACGAAGTTTTTTTCATTAATATGACCCTTGAAGGAACGCAGACAGTATGGTTTCCCCACATTCCATAGTTTTAGTTGGCTGTCTGTTGAGCTGAGATAAACACAAAGAGGAGTAAATTTTGGATTCTGTGGTATAAAACTCATCACTAGTAATTAAGAAGCAATCCAGTTTTGTGATTAAGAATGCAGATTGTGGTGCCTGTGTGTCTGAAACTTGTGACCTCATCAGCCACAAACAGTTCAACATGATATAGGATGATCTGCTTTATAGAATTAAATGAAACCAACACTGTGACAAACAAATCCAGTTAACATGCTTTCAATAATGGCTGTGTATACAGGAGGTATAAGCATTAACAGCACCAATGCTCCAATCCTACGATCAATAAATCATGAGACTTTGCACTGAGAGATGTGTTTCATTTCAGGGAGATCCTCATTCTTCTTGTGATTTATCTCTCAACTGTTGAGTTACTAGTATACTACATATAAACTATTTTTAGGCTACCCCTACAGGTAAGAGATGGTTGGAGGTTCAGAAGGTTACAACTGTATACAGCCAAGATCCAAACTGTTTGATTTTAGCATTTGAGCTCTCTCAGAAATGTGATTTAGTCTGTTTGTTCCACAGTATTGCCGTGAAATGTCCTTTATGTTTCAGTTTAAAATGGACCTCGTTTAAGTCATTTACTGCCTATTATAGTTATCTGAAAGAGGGAATACTCTTTAGCTGCAACTTAATTTGTTTGTGAATTAATTACCAGCATAAATCACTTGGAAAGCTCAGTTATGAATATTTCTTATCCTCTTTTGTACCCGAACTGAAATCATCTTGCCAAATTGCCTAATTCTTATGTAGAGCAACTAGTGTGAAGGTAAAGGTAAGAAGCAAAATTCAAGACACTGGCATAAACAATCTTCTAAGAGAGACAAGGACAAAGTAAAAAAAGAAGAAAGCAAGAAACCACTAAGCTTGGGAAGAGACACTGTGTGTGTAAAGCCAGAATGGATATTTATTAGATTATGAGACGGATAAACAAAATGTGGAACTATCCATATTATCAGAAAAGTTCTGTAGTTTGACAATAGAGGTTACTTTGTATCACTGACATTTTATTACTTCAAAAAAACCAACTAACAAAGGACATTTGGAGGGTATAAGCAGACACACTTAAAAGTTCTCTTTAAAACAAATTTTACTGCAAAAATGGTATAGATTACTATAAAATCAACTCTTTAAAACCAAAAATCATTCTACTTCTACAATGAAAATAGACTTCTATACTAACACACTGGTTTGCTACAATCAAATAAATTAATTTTTTCTTTCTATTGCATCAGCCTCTTCAGGAGAAGCAGTAACAAGAAATCAAATTTGAAGTTCAAATGTTAATTCAATTACAAATATCACTGAAGAGTGCCTAAAAGAAAGTAATATTTTATTTTATTTACAAGTACCATAACAATGAACAATGCAGATAAGGGACATGGTATTTTATTGGAAGATATGCGTATCTGTTGTTATTTGAGGAAGCAATACAAGGTTATTCTTTGCAAAAACCTACAACATCCTTGATGAGACCGCGCTATCAAGCTCACCCTCCAAGGAGAATACTCACGCAGAGACAATTTCTTCACCACTCACAAACTTGGCATAAGAGACTGCTTTTCGATGTCCCTTGAATACCATTATTGGCTGTTTAGTGTTACGAAGATCGTAGTAGTGAACACAGTGATCTACAATAAAATGAAGAGTAAAAGTAGTAAATGAGGAAAAGGGAGACAAAACAACTGAAGGGGATTTGGTGTTTTCATCAGAGCAAAGCGGTGGCTGAGTAAGTGCGATCATCTTCACATAGAAACATTATTTTGAAGTCTTGTTTAAGAAAACTATCCTCACAAAGAGTTAAGGAATTCATAAGAGACATTGTATCATTTTGTTTCAGCCTAACAGAAGCAAACAGGCAATAGAAGCAAAAGAAAAACAAACAAACAAAAACAAAAAACTTTGTCCAGCAACCTCTCCCTAACTCCAAGCAACACATCACAAAAGAGAAGCCACTAGCTAAGGGGAAAAATAGAAGAAACTAGTTTGAGGTACCAGAACATGAAGATGGAATCCAGTGTCTGACAGGCCTAAGGTTGATTCTCTAAGCAGGTGCTCAAGAGATAAAGCTATGGGTAGAGCTGGCCTGGTATCAATGAACTGCCTCTACCATCTCCTCCCTAAGTCTATATAGCATAACGCTGACCAAGACCCCATCCCCGAAGGCTAAAGAAAAACCACACAACACTGCCAGACGACTGAATCCCAGAATCAGGTAGACCCTAAGAGATTTTTGTCTTCAGAAAACCACATTCTGAGCTTACCTTGGTGCAAGGCAGGAAGGGATCTGTGGCCACAGCAAAAAGAATTTGTATTCTGGCTAGCTTCATGTGTGGCTGTCTGGGCTGTTTAAGGCTCTAAGTATACCAGGGCAGCAGACAGGCCACAGCACCTACTTATGTTCTGTCTCTGTGCAGGTCTTAACAGACTGTGGACCCTAAGGATGATTCTATACTGAGGGATCTGTCTTCCTGAACCCAACACTTAGCAGAACATCAACAGTCGTTATCACTTCGGATTAAAGGACGTAGTTGACAACTCACTGCATAGGAACATAGGGTCTAGTTTGCGCATGAGCCCCATAGAGGAAAGAAATCAGTATCTTCCCAGAGGCTGTTGGCTGAGGAAAAGGCAGCTGGGCCTACCTTAGTCCCCAGGTAAAGGCTTATGTGATGAAACATACTTTCCAGGTACTCTTCCTGTTTTGTTGAGTAGCACATATGCAGGTAAGGGGGTAAAATCTCTGCTTTTAGGGATTCTCTATAGTACTAAAATAGCAGCACTGACTGCACACTCAGGAAAAATAATAGCTTACTTAGAGTATTTGCAAGGATAAGCACGATACCAGATTATAAATGCTTAGTCCTTTCATGTAAAGACATTATTGGATATGAATATATACCAAAACTACTCCTGGAACTATAACCTAACCTAGATGAATATAAGCTGTCAAAAAAGTGATGACAAACAATGGATAGATAGGATCCTCAGATAGAGAATCTTAAATAGCTGTATGCAGGCAATTAAGGGACACAGCAACCAAAATAGCAATAACAATTAAATATATAAATACATTCTACTTACATGAAGCTTTCTACACCTATAAAGCCAAGCATAGTTTAAAACTGAAGAAATATAAAGAAATCCCATGCAAATGTAATTAAAAAAAAAGAAAGCAGTAGTAATCACACTTAAGTAAGAGACTTAAATCAGCAAAAAGGGCAAGGGACCAAATCATAGGACAAGGAAATAATCCTTAGCATGAATGTACCAAATATTAGAGCACACAAATAAATAAGGAGAGCATGAGCTTTTCCTAGCCTGAGGAGATATTTCAGTACAGTAATAGGGGAATTTAAAGCCCCCTTTTAGTACTAAACAGACTGTCTGGACAGGAAATTTATAAACAGGAGAACTAAATTATACTCTGGACCAAATGGAACTAAAGACTCATCTACAGCATGTGCCCTCCATCACTAAGAAATATGGGTTCTTTTCAATAATACATGAAGGGTTCTCTAAGACAGGTAACATGACAGCTCATGAAAAACGTCTCAGTATACTCCAAAACACTGAATTATCCAGTATCATTTCCAACTGTAAGTTGAACAGAAATGGAAATCAGTAACTAAAATTTGGACATTATATATAATTACATTGTAAGTTCACAACTTATAAACACTCAATGGAGCAAAGAAATTTTAAAAAATTAAATTTCTAAAAACAAATACAAAGAAAAACACAACATGCTTACACTGATGGAATACAGCAGAAGCAGAAGAAAGAGGGAGTATATGGCAGTAAGTGTTCACACCAAAAAGCAGAGCAAGTGAGTACTGCTATTGTACAGGATCTGAGTTTGTTTCTCAGTATCACATGGCTTATGACCAGCTGTAACTCCAGGACCAGATCTGCTGCCCTCTTCTGGCCTCCATGGGCTCACATACATACAGCATATATTCACACAGATACATAAATAAAATCTAAATACACACACACACACACACACACACACACACACACACACACTACAAAGTGGGACTGACAAGAGGACTCACTTGGGGTAAAGGTACTTGCCACCAAGTCTGATAACCTGACATTGATTTCCAAAATTTTGGAGGTGGAGAGAATTGATTAGGGCAAGTAGTCCTCTGACTTGCACTTGTATGTCGCACATTGTGTAAGCACACACACACGTGTATGTGTGTGCACACAAACTAAGTAAAAATAAAAAGGGGACAGAAAAGGTCTCAGAAAACAGCCTATCACTGTACTTTAAAGAATTAGAAAAACAAACTAAAGAAATAATAAATATAAAAATACTAAGAACAAATGAAAGAAGTAGCAAAATATATGTAGAGAGATGATACATGAACCAAATTAAGTTTCTTTCCAACAAAGGTAAGGAAAGTCAGTAAGTCTTTGGTGAGACCAAAAATGAGAGAAGATTCAAAACAGGAAGGGGAAAAGAAATTATCAACACCACAAGAACAGACATCTACATATCAATGCAATATCCAAGTTCCTGAACACACAAATATTACCAAGATTGAATTATGAATAGGAATCCTAACGGGTCAATAATAAATAACAAAGGAAAATCAGTAATATAAGGTCTCCCATCAAAGAAAAGTCCAGATTCACTGCTGAATTCAACAAAATGTTTAAAGAATACTAGTTCCAAAAATATTATGAAGAAACTCTGCCAAACTAATTCCATGAGGTCAGCATTATTCTTACCCAAACCTGATAACAAAGATCAAAAACCTTAGGTCAATATCCCTGATAAGTAAGCATAGAACCATTATAAGCAAATCTAACAGCAACTTAAAAAGGTTAGTCACTGTCATTAGTCACCCAGAGATGGAAGGATGACTCCACATATACAGATGAATGAAACTGATACTCAACAGAAGAAAGGATAAAAATCTTGGTTGTTTCAACAAATGAAGATAAAAGTATCTGATGAAATTCAACAGGTCTTTACAGTAAAACTGAATAAAGAAGGCAGAGAAGAACCATACTTATATAACAAACCAACAGCAGGCACCACTAGGATCAGCAGAAGAGAATGCATTTATATACAGAATAGAATTCCCAGGGAAGTTGTATCCCCATCCCACCAAGATGGTGCAGAAGTCATAGTGGCAGGAGCTAGAGGGAGCTACTCACATAGCATCCATATCCAGTAACCCAAGAAAATACATATATGCTAATGTGTGCTTTCTCCACATGCACAACACAGGATCCTGTCTAGGGAATAGTCCTTCCCATAGTCAAGATGAGTCTCCTCAAATCAATTAATAAAATTAAGGTATTCTTACGCAGGCATGCCCAGAGACTCAGCTCCCAGGCTCCCAGGTGACTACCTATAGTAAAGAAAACTTCAAAGGAATAAGCGTTTGGTGGCATCCTCAGCTGGCAGCGTGCCTGCCTAATAAAACATAAAACCTAGGTTTCATTCCTAGGACAACATAAACTTGGTGTGGTAGCACATGCCTGGGGTTCCAGCACTTGGACAATAAAGCTTAGCAGAGTTCTCAGCCACACAGCAAGTTCAAAACTAGGCTGAGATACTAGATGCTGTCTAAAAAATATGAAAGAAGAGGTGGGAAAAAGGAAATGTAACCAAATTGTGACCAAACAACAACTTTAGGTAATTAAGTCTTAACACAAAAATTTGATGCAGGATCTCTTGTTACACTGCATATGCTAGGCTAGTTGGACTGTGAACCAGAATAAATCCTTCCCTCATTAAGTTGCTTTTGACAAGAAAGAGTATTTCATCATGACAGGAAACAAACAACTGAGGCCATTTCTACGTGGCTTACCCTCTTCCACTTATCTCCTGCACTTCACTGACACCCCGAACTACAATGGCTATTATAACCTCATTTTATCCACAGGGGCTATTTGTGTCACTTCCAATTTGGGGATACATGAATGAAGCTTCCTTGAGTGTCTTTTGTATAAAGATATATTCTGTTCGACTGATCTTTGTGCTTCTAATTCTTATATCACAGTGTCTTATTAATTCACTTTATCTCCATACTAGACTCAAGAGAGGGAGGGATGTGAACCTTTTTTTTTCCCTAAAAACTGACTTTTACTGCAAACTTACGGATCAAATTATATAATGTCTATAAAAACTCTTATTCTTCTCTGTGAACTTGTGATAAACATATGAAGATCAGTCTACAGAGAATTAACACCTCTGGCATATTAAGTACCACATATCACAATCACAGTTCATAAATATAGCATAACTTTCCATTGTTTAAGGCTTCTTTATTAGTTTCTTTAGTGTTGCTGTGATAATAAGCCCTAACCAAAAGCAGAGCTTGGATGTTGTAAATCCACAATTTTTCTTGAGCTATTTTTAGCCTCCTTAATAGCCAATCACTGCTCACTTGTGTCTGATCTAACAAACCTACAACTATCAAGGCATAATACTTTGGAACATATTAACCTAACAGACCACTGGATCCCAGCAATCCCAAAATGCCAGCAAATAGCAGCTGAACCCAACAACAGGTATTTTCTTGATTGTAACTCTCTGCATGATGTGATGTTTCTACCAATTTAGTTGAAAAAATGCTTTAATTTGTTTTTTTCTTTTGTTCTCTGTTTA